TGGCGTCGCAGCTCTTACATCCCCAGCTTCATTGCACCCGATAGATATTCCAGATGCTACCATATTCCTCAAATCCAAGAGCTGAGCATCGCTGCGGTGCCACCCTAGGACGTAGCGCTCCCTCAAATATTCTCCCAAACAGAGGGTTGGATGCCGCAATGCCACCCATCCCAGCGTCGCTGCGCTCTCAAAGGAAATTTGATAATTTGAAAATTTACTTCTCCAGTTCATTTCTTGACTCAGTTAAGGATTCATTAAGTATGATAAAGCCCACATTCATCAATCAGGTCAAAATTAAATGAACATTTATTTTAAATTGTATCAATTATCTGAATTTCTATACAACGGATGTTACATCCTACCCTCCTTATAGAAAATATCATCCTTGATATTTTCAATACGTAGTACCATCAAAAGAGGTCTGGATACAATTATCTTATTTCTGCTTCTTTCTTCTAGGTCGCCTTTCATTTCGATTTGGGCTTCTACTGGACGTCTGGACCTTAATCATCGAAATTTGCTTGTTTCTTAATTATTTCACATCGTACACCAGAACACGTTCAGGTTTTTCTCTGTAGGTTAGATAGGGTTGCACTTTGACCTTATCTTCGGAAACTCTTTTGTCTACATCGGACACCTACTTTCTTAACAATGACACATGAAATACATTATGAATGTCTGACATATGATCTAATAAGTATAATCTACAAGTAGTTTTTTTTTTCAATCTTTTCAATTACTTCAAGTGATCTTATATATCTAGGACTTAGCTTGTTATCTCTTCCCAATCTAGTTATCCCCTTTATCAGACTAACTTTCAGATATACAAAATCATTGTCCTGGAACTCTATGGACTTGTGTTTCAGAGCAAAATATTTCCTCTGCCTATCACTAGCTGCTTTTAACCTTTTCTTGATTAGTCTGATTTTCTCTATAGCATTGTATACCATCTCAAAACTTATTAATTTCCATTCTTTGGCTTCAATCCAAGTCAATGGTTGTCTATACTTTCTTCCGTATAGGGTTTTATATGTTGTTATATCGTGTTTTTTTGAAAGTTTTTATAAGTAAATTCGATTAAAAGTATATGGTCTTCCCAACTTCTTCCAAAATCTGAGGCATTCTCAATAGATCTTTTAACACCTGAATAACTCTCTTTGACTATCCATCTGTATGGGGATGGAAAATTGTCTTAAAGTTCAATTTGTTCTTGGACTTTCCTGTATACTCTCCACAATTTGAAAGTGAATCTACCATTACAGTCAGAGAATAATTTTAGGGATCTCATGCAATCTTAAAATTCCCTTCACACACAACTAAGATAATTTATTAATAGAATTTGTCTGTCTCATGGGAAGGAAAATGAGCAGACTTAGTCAATCTTTCCATAACTACACATACGACATCATGGCTTTGCCTATACCTAGGAAAATTGATAACAAAATCCATAATGATCTCTTCTCACTTTCACTTAGGAATAGACAATTGCTATAGTAGTCCACTGGGTTTTTGATGTTCGGCTTTCACTATCTGACATGCTTCGCACTTGGAGGCAAACTTTGTTACTTCTCGCTTCAGCTTAGACCACCATAATATATATTTTAGATCATGATACTTCTTATTATTGCTCGGATGAATAGTATAATTAGAATAGTGAACTTAATATAAAATCTCTTTCCTTAGACTACCATTATTTGGGGCCCACATATAGCTAACACAACAAATTATACTTTGATCATTGACTTACAGTTCACGTCTCTTTTCAGACTGAATTTGATCTACCAACTTTGTATATTCCTCATACATTTTTTTGAGCTTCTTGAGGAGACAACACTCTTCTTGAGGAAGTACGCTTATGTTTGAAAACAATTGTGATTATATGCATGCAAATTTTTTTAAATCCATTTTTTTTAAATATTTAAATTTGAACATTTGTATGAGTGTTTGCCTTTGAAATGCGTGCAACATTTTATTTCAAAGCCCAAAAATGTCTTCTATCTGCTTATACATGTATTGCAGATGTAGTATTGTTTTTTTGAAGGCGAGTAGGAATTCCAAAATTTTATTATTATTAATTTTTGTAATTAGGAGATTTATATGTTCAGTTGAAGTCCAAAAATTCAATTCTTGCTCAGAGGCTAGTTACCCAGTTCGCTATAAGTCTCTTAATTTTGCTCGTATGCAAGCTGTTGTATTCATTATGAGTCCCTTGTACATCTTTTAAATCTTCCTTTTTTACTTTAATTTAAGTTTTGTAATTTAAGTTTTGCAATATCTAGAGAGATGAAAAATTTGTAGGAGAGAGTCTCTATTTGTTAGAGGGAGAAATTCTAGAGAGAGGGGGGTAAGGGTGGCAGAGCTGATTCTGACAGTTGGGTAGATGTAAGTGTGGGAGGGAGCAAAGGGACGGAGGTAACCTGGGTTGTGAGGGCTGGGGAGGAGAAAGTGTTGAATTGGAGGAAGGTGGTCAACCGGCTGAGGGGAGTTCATTTGACTGGTTGCTGAAGGAGAGTGAGCTGGCGAGTTTAGTTGGGAACGGAGGATATCACGGTGAAGTGTGGTCGGAGGTGGTGTGGAGTAGTTGTAGTGATTAGCTGCTGTGTTCATGTATAGGAACATGTGATTGGCAAGTTTAGGTGAAAAAGAACACACTCGGTTGGCTGGGCTTGTGTTTCGGAGTGTGGGAAACTACAATAGTGAAGAGGAAAGGAGTTCGAGCAGCTAGTGTACGACCAGATGTCGGGTTGGTATGGAAGGTGGTCTACATCTCTCGTAGGGAGCTTGGTTTGTTTGGCCTGCTCGAGTGCGAGAGAGGAAGGAAGGGAGGAGGGGTTTGGGGGTTGCATGAGCGTGAGGAGAATGGGAGTATGGAATAGGTTGATGGAGGAGAGAATAGTAGGCATTAGTTTAGACATTTCTTTTTTGTTATATATATATATATATATATATATATATATATATATATATATATATATACTATATAATATATATATATATATAGATATAATATATATATATATATAAAAGGTTTTTGCTTGCATACGGTAAGTAGGGCTGCAAACGAACCGAGCCGAGCCGAGTAATGTGAGTGTTCATGTTTGTGTTCATTTTAATATAGCTTATTCAATTTGGTTCATGTTTGTAAGAGCTTTATTGTTTGTGTTCATGTTTCGTTCATTTAAATTAATAAGTGTTCATATTCGGTTCATGTTCAGTTCATGTTTGTTCATTTAGTGCTTATCGAGCTTGTGTTCACGAACAATTTAACAAATTTTTTTTAACTATCAAAACAAAATACGTCCATGAACATATCTATGAACAAAAACATTTATAATAAAAGAAATTGTCTATGTAACAAAGGCAATGATTATTTATATTTATTAATTCTATAGTCAAATATTAATTATTTTTATCAAGATTATTCACGATTTCAAAATCGAACACGAATCAAGCTTTTATTGAGCTTCTTATCGAGCTTAATGTCGAGCTTGTTCACGAACTTCAAATGATGTTGTCCACGAACATAAATGAGCCGAATGCATTAGTATTCAAGTTTATTTATTTAAGAATCGAGTATTTAAAATATTGTTCAAGTTTGTTTGTTTAGTTAATTAAACGATCATAAACGAGCTTTAATCGAACTGAACAACGAGTAGCTCGTCGAACGTTTGGTTCGCTTGCAGCCCTAACGTTAAGGTTGCAGTAGTTCAGGCAGGGCTCAGGTACTTGAGATAAGTTTTAGGCAAGTTGAAATAAAGTGATGAGGATATTATTAGGTTTAAATTATAATTTTTTTTTTATTTTATAGAAATATATCTCTAGATATATATTTATAATAATCAGAATAATAGAAATAAATTAAAGAAATGTGAATGACATTCTCATGCAATTTCTCATTTTTCATACTATCTCAATTTGGATGCAATCATCTTGCATAGACAATTTTTATCTTTTTGCTCGCACGTACAAATATGCAATATGAATTTTACTTGTGAATCTTTTATGTTATAGACAATGGTGAAATTCATTTTGAGAACGGGCAATGTTCGGGCGATGTTATGTAACATTACGCCCTTGGTCCATCGTATTTGATTGCTTTTGCTCGAATTTAAAACCAAATGTCATCTCATGAGTATTTCGATGTTTTGGCTGTAAAGACGTAGTATGTTTTGTGACCGGATACCATTTGAACAATTTTTGTGCAGCGTTGTGCTTGTTAACTGTCATTTTCGTCGCTTGATCTCCTTATTACGAGCAACTCTTCTTTGATAAATTCAACACTTTGAACATGTCGATGTACTTCGTTCCGCGAATCAATGATGTTTAATTGGTTTTGTGCAACGTCGAAATGTTTCGAGCTTTCTACGCAAGTTGTCTATTTCATTGATTGTTATTCTGGTTGCCTTAACTTACATTGATTACATCACTTGTGTTGAGGTTAACAATCACAAGATTGGTAGCAACCACTATTGATAATCAAAATCATAATTTATCCAAGATAATTTATGGAGTTTAAATTCCATACTTAATAATACTAATGTACTTACTTTATATATATACTTTATTATGCATATAGGCATACAAATTAATTCTATGTAATTTTTGTTTTTATATTTATTTTCTGTTATATATATTTTTTAATTGTCAGACTTTATATATTTTTTAATTAAAAATTACTTTTAGAAGCAGTAAAAATACTATCCCAAAGAAAGCCTAAATCAATTTCAAGAAGGTCTTTTCAATTCATTTTATTTCAAGATAGCACATCTCCTATAGCAATTTCAATTTTGTTCAATTTTTAGTCAACTAAACATAAAAAACATTAAGCTTGATTCAAGCCTGACTCGAACTGGACTGAAATGCTAAACTTATTATGTTAGCACGGAGAAAAATATTGTTTGTTCTTATTTATTTATAACAGGTCTTGGGTGCTGCGGCCATGGTTAACAAGTCTGGAAAACACCCTGGTCAGCTGAAAGATGCAGTTACTTCACCTGCAGGAACTACCATAGCCGGCATTCATGAACTTGAGAAGGCTGGATTTCGCGGTTCGCTGATCAGTGCTGTCATCGCTGCTGCAAAACGCTGCCGGGAACTATCATAAGGTGCACTTCTGCATTTCCTTATAACTTTGGTTGAAGAAACAAAGTATAAGTTGAATGAGAAACATTTAATCCTCATTGTAAAATCTGTTGGTAAAGGTCTGATTTAATTGAAGAATATGTGTTATTCGATGTTAAATCTTGAAATCTTATATTTTTTTTTTCACAAAATGCCATTAGGTTTGTTTAATGGGGTTATACCATGAATTGAAAGGAAGGCATGGGGTTGATTTAAAAAAAAATCATTAAAATCTGTCAAGGTGCAGTTTACCTAAAAAATATAAAGCAGTAAATTCAAATTTCATGCTTGACTCAATTACAGCTACATTTTGGATAATTTTGAACTAGAAATTTTTGTACTAGAAAATTGTTTCTTTCAAAAGAAGGAAAAAAAAATGTCCCAAATGAAGCCTAAATCAGCAGGAATAAGTATAGTAAGAGGTAGGATTTATGCTTCTAAGATCTTCAGATAGTAAGATATATGATCAATTGAATAACTACAATTGAATCTATATAATCCAAATCTTATGATCAACTTCTAATCGTTGACAATGATTTAGGCGTCATTTGTGATAGCTTTTATATTGCTTTATGAATTAGCTTTTCAAAACAAAAATGTTGTAAATTAGAAATTTGTATACTAAATAATTATTTTAAAAAACAATAAAAAAGTTATCTCAAATTAAGCTTTTAAGCATTCATTGATTCGCTCTCTCTATAAATCTAATTAATCTGTATGGTCATAGGTAAAATTGGGAGGATAAATTTTGTAAACAAAGCATTGTAATAAAATTCTTTTATTAGAAGATTTTGAAAATATGAATTGGTAACAGGTTATACTTTGTATTTATTTTGTTTTCAATGCTAAGTAAAAAAATCTTAATTTGGAGTAAAATTTATTTAGTTATATAGGTCTAAAAAATTCTAATAAATAATAAATTTATTAAATTTTTTTTATATAGTTATTTTATTTTAAAATTGAAGCTTAACCAAATGATGACATTATTGGATTTCTCCTTTCACATCATTAAGATGGTGATCATGCGATTTGCTTTTATAAATGTTGACAAAAAAAAAATGTCACATCAATACAACTGGATTTGCAAGATAAGATATTTAATTAGCCTTCCATCAGATGGTAAAGTTGGGGTATCCAATGATGATTAAAATCTTCCAATTGTAATATATACTGATTACATCACAGTTATTCATTAATTCTCAAAGTGCTAAAGCATAATAATGGCGAGCACTTCAATTTAAGAATACTGCAATGGTTGGAAACATGCACTGCACATATTTGCATCCCTCCATCTCAGTTGTAATGCATCTCCTACCTTAGATTGAGTTTCACATTGATTTTTTATTGATTTTTAGGTCTTATCTATGGAGATCTTATGATAGATCTGCAAAAAACATCATTAGTGTAGGTGGAGCTTGCGACTGAAAGAATATATAGCATAAACATCTAATACTTAAGCTGAAGGTGAAGTCCAACAAAGTATATCAGTGTTGCATGCATACCTCAAAGTCAGAGTGAGATGAGTTGTTATAAGTATTACATACAGAAGTATGATGACACAATGATTAGGTAGAAGACTTTCTAATTGGTGATGAATGGAAACCAATAAAAGAAAATTTTGTAGAGATGGATCGTTATCTATTTGGCCTTCAATTCTTTTAGATGGTATCATGAGATTTTGTGTGAAAAATTAACCATTAATATAGATAATGGTAATAGCCCTAAAATTATTTTGCAATGGGCCTGTTTGGTCCAACTGTTTTAGAAAGTTGAAGCGAAAGACGTGTTCGTAGCTCTCATGTGCGACGAACCGAATGAGTCGTAGCTATTGTGATCAAAATCATCTCTGGTCTTCTCTGCATGCAACATTTCTCTCTCTAATCACATGAATTAGGCAATATGCTCACTTCTTGTGATTTTCCTGCACTCGAACTTCCCTCTCGCCATTCAAAGCAAATAGGAGGCTAGGGCATCGTTCCATCGTCAATTATTCTCTTTGTAGCTACCGAATCTCTCCCTTATTCTTACTCTTTATTTCTTTCTCGCAAATAGTAGCCACCAATTTTATCTTTCCCCTCTTTTTCTCTCTTCCTTATGCCGTTTTCCCCGAATCAACGCTGTTGTTAGGGAAGGGTTCACACTCCCTCTTTCACTTGGATCGAGTTTGAATTTTCCTCCTTTTTCCTTCTAATTAATCGAGATCGTTTAAACAAGATTAAGTTATTGTTATTATTTTTGGGTATTTAGATTAGATCAATGACATTATTGTTGAGATAGTTGTTACTTAGTTTTGTATGTTTGATATTCTTGCAACTTGTATGTTTTTGATGATTCCAAATATTATTGACTTGATTATTATTTCTCCTAACATATTTTGGAAGAATTATTTTTCTCTTATGTATACTAACATTTCAAGGAAATCATACTCCGTATTGTTGAAGACTTCAAATCAAAGATCAGTTTAGAGTTTATTATGATTGAAGTCTGTATTTTTTCATTTTATTGAGTCTGAGAGAGTGTGATTGTAATTGGGTAACTGAGCACAAACACACACACACTGGGTGAGAGTTTTTAAATTCATAATTTTAAGCTAATCGTACTATACGATATGACTTCATACGGGACGATCTGATCAGTTATTTCCCCAACGAGCAGTGGAACGAACATAAATTAAATATTTTTCTAAGTATGGTTCGTACGGGACGAAATTTATTTTCGTACCGGGACGAAGATCTCTGTTTTGTCCTCGAACGAAGATTATACCGAAAGAAATTTATTTTCGTACCGGGACGAACGTCTTTATTTTGTCCTCGAACAAAGATCGAACGGGACAAAATTTTTTTTTGTACCGAGATGAATGTCTCTATTTTTTCCTCAAACAAAGATCGTACGAGACAAAATTACTTTTTGTACCGGGACGAATGTCTCGGGTCTGTTTTCGTTCATTTCGTTCTAACGTTTTGTAGATACAAACTTTAAAATTTTTCTGTCGTACTGGACGAACTTGGTTCGTACTGGATGATGATTGTGTATGGAATGAGTTCATACTGATTCACAACATGTTCGTGCGCAATAGTATTTGAACTGTTCGTACGTACGAAATACGATCGGACTGTACGATCGTGTATGCTCAAAATTGATAAATTTAATTTTCTGGATGATTTTTCGTATTTTTTGTATAAAAAGGTCCATTTTAAACTGACGTGAATAATCTTCTAAGTCTTGTCTTCATGTGTTTTCAAGGGCAATTGAAAGAGATAGTGTGAGAGAGTGTTTGAGAGAGATTTCTTGCAAGTGGAGTGTGAAGGGTTCATAGGGTTACTCAAAGGTAATGATCTCTTTGTAATTGTTTGTTATCACTCTTACTCTTGTCTTTCTAGATTGCTCGTGATAAGATCTTGGAGAAGATCCAGTTCTCTGCCGACACTTGGAAAGTGTGAACAGTCGAACGTTCTCTGCCTATACTTGGAGAGTGTGAATAGCCGAAGGTACTCTGCCGACACTTGGAGGGTGTAAAAAAATGAAGGTTCTTTGCCTACACTTGGAGGGTATAAAAGGATGACGGTTCTTTGCCGCACCGGGGATTGGTGGAAAAGAGTTTTGTGAAGGTTTCTCCGTCTTGCTGTGGGGGCAAAAGGAGAGACACTTATGGTAATATTGCAAAACCTGAAGAGCGAGTCTTCAGGGAGTGGATGTAGTTCCTATTTGGCCGAACCACTATAAATCTTTGTATCATTTTTATTTCCGCTTCTTAATTACTACAATTTTAATTTTGTGGTTGAAAAATTTATTTTCAAATAACATCAATTAAATTTCTACGTATAATTAACTGGTTTCAAAATTTTAAATCCAAGAGAAGTAATTTTTAAATTACCAATTTACCCCCGCTCTTGGTTAGCCTTGGGACATCAGCTTAGGTTTAACAACCTAATCAAGATTTAACAAGTATCAATAATTACATCTCAATCGATTTAACTTATATGTTTATGTTTTTTTTTTTTTTTTTTTTTTTGTGAGGTTTTTTTTTTTTTTTTTTTTTTTTATTTGTGATGGTTGGTTTTCATTCTTGGCAGTAATTTAATCCATAAATTATAGAATTTATATTATTTTAGATCTTTTTGACTTTATTGTTCTATGTTATGAATCCTGTAGGCTTGCTTTTTAATATTCAATGTATATATTTAGTTTTGAGTTATATAATCTTTATGTTTCTAGCATTTTATTCCTTTAATGTTATTATGAATAATAAATTAGGATTTTTGTTTGTAGGACCTTCGAATTATTATCCTAGTGGTGTTGTCCATTGAACATATTTTTTGCTTGGGGTTTTGTTTCACTCACTTAGAGGTAAGTAACTAGTATTTATTAAGAGATATAAGCACCCCTCTTTGTTACGGGCATTATCATTCTTTCTTGTGTTAGTGTTCTAGATATTAGGTTGTCAGTACTATTTTTTTATATTTTTTTATTAGTATTTTGTATGTTAGGAATCTTATTTATTGCTAATATTAACACTTTGATTTTTTAATGCATGAACTTTTATCTTTTAAAATGGTTCATGTTGTAGAAATTTTAATTCATACATATCGATGTTGTTAATGGAATAAGTGATACTCATATTATAAATCATGTTGGTAATATAACTTATTATTGTCATTTTGATTTATATAATACATAATTATTTCTAAAACCCTATTAGATTTTGGCATGCTGGGCCAGAGTAACGACTATATAGGAAATTATTAAATTTTCTTGGGTAGGTGTTTACCTTCACAGTGTTGGGTATTTGATAAACCGACTATAATTATATACTTGTAAATGTATAAATATAAAATTGGACATTAAATGAAAGTAATGAATGATTAATAAGTCATTTTGAGGTATGATGATACCTAGTATGATTGCATTTATAAGCATTGAAGTAATTCAACTTCAGCAATAGTTTGTCAAATACACTTATAGCACAAACATACTAGTCATAGGAATCATGACATATATCATTATTTTAATGATTATACATTACTACTCCTATCTTTTGGTTGTTCATACTACATGCCCCATTCTTTTACCGTTTATGTATTAATAGATAAGAGTTACATGTTAGGCTTGATTTATCAAATTCACTTGTTGTTCTTTACATTAGCTTGTGTGATTAGC